AAGGAGTCACTAACAGACCATTAAATAAATCAGGATATTTAGATTTAAAGCCAATGGGTTTTAGCAGATCAAGATTCTTAATTTTTTAGATTTTTAATTTTAAATTCTAATTTAATTGCAGTCTAATTTAATTTTTAGCCTAATTTAATTGGGGGAGGAAGGTTGGAGGGCAATTTAGATATGTGGGATAGCTTTTTAAAAACAAAATGAATGCAACAGAATCCATGATGAATAAGCTATAAAAATTTAAATAAAAACAGATTCTGCCCTGCATCTGCATGACCCTGCCTGGCTCCACTCAGCCTAATTCTGGGCCTGGTTCTAGTAAAAACTCATCTTCAAATACAGGCAACTGGCCCACAAGTGTGGGTATGCCAAATTGTTTTTTTAACACATAAAATATTACTAATCTGAACTACCAAATTTGGGACATCCCCTTAAATCATGTGCCCTGTGGGAATGCCCTATTCTCTTCACCCTAGTCCGGCCCTGATGTATATCTGGAAAATCGTGGCTTCCCTCCAGGTTAGGTGACAAGGAAGTTTGAGTGTAAAGCAGAGTTGTACAAAATAGATGATTTAAAACAAAACAAAGTTTCGAGTGTTTTATTTTTACCTAATTCCTCTTGTAAATAGCTGCATTAGCTTCCACAGGATACATTTTCATGAGCAAGAGAAAAGATGGAAAACTACAGTATTTTCTAGTCCTGAGTGGAATGCGTTGAGGTACAAGAATCTCTCTGTTCAAACGTCCATCCAGCCAACAGGGCATGTATGAGTCAGGTTTTTATCACGGGGACAACATATCTAAGAAAAAACAACTTGGAGGAGGAAAGATTTATTTTGGCTCATGGTTTCCGAGACTTCTGTCCGTGGTTGACTGACTCCGTTGCTTTGGCTTGAGGTGAGGCAGAGCAACATGGCTGAAGAGGGCGATGGGGGAAAGCTGCTGGGTTCATTGCAGCCAGGAAGCAGAGAGAGCAGGGAGGGGGGCAGGGACAAAATGTAGTTCCCAGGGCACACCCCCAAGCACCCCTGCTTCAACTAGGTCCCACCTCCTACAATTCCCAGCAGCTCCCAATGATGCCATCAAATTATTAATCCATTGATGAGGTCAGGGCCCTCATGATCCTGTCACTTCCCAAAAGCCCAACCTCTGAACACTGCTGCACTGGGGACCAAACTGCCAACATGTGAGCCTTTGGGGAACATACCAGATCCCAGTCATAAGAGGGAGCAAAGCAGTAGCTCTAATTTACTCAGAGCCAAAATTACGGTAAACGAGTCCCATGCTACTTCAATGTCCAGATGTGCTAGTCTCACGTTTTTATGCTGTGTCTAAGGTTTGCATCCTAAGCCTTCATGTTAGAGCTACTTGGTAGATTGTAAGCACGATTTATGGTTCAAAAGCCACTTGGGGACCCAAAGACAACCACAGTCTAAAGATGTGGTCAGAATTTCTTCAGGATGTAACGGTGACTTGTCTCGTCTTATGATTCTTACATACTCATTTCCTAAATAATCTCCGGTCTGGAAGAACACATCTGACACATCACACCTGCTGCAGGAAGGTACAGCACAGTGATTCCCTGTTCCAGGACACGGTATGCTTTAGTGAGTCATTAACAGGCTCCGGAGATTTCCACTTTCCTACCAAGGTGTCCACTAAACTCATAATCGCTTCTAGGGTCAGCATGGTTTTCTCTTAACTGATCTAGTACACACTTAAAGATTTCTGATATCCTGCTCTGAGACTCACCATCCATGGGGTCATCAAAGAAGGGGTCACAGTTTCCTTCACACTCTGCAAACAGTTCTCAGAACAGCTAGTGATGTTTATGTACATCTTCCCCCGGAAAACCAAACTATGAATTGGGTTGTGCTGGAACTCTCTGGGCGCCTCTGTACAGCCATTTATCCTGGAACACATTCATTTTTTGCCATGAGAATGTCAAGAATTTTATATTGCAGCTTTTGTACTTCATTGCTGTCAGTTGAGATAATTGTATCCAAGAAAAACTTAGACGTTCGTCTTCTCTATTAAAAAAAAAAAAGGTTTTTTTTGTTTGTTTTTATTGCTGTTGACCCAGTGAGGTTTATTTCCTTTTTATTTTACAAGATAGACTTCTTGGTGTATCACAAATAAATGGTGCACAGCAAACAGTAATTCATTAGGGAGGAAAATTAAGACGTGATGAATTTCCTGGAGCACCAGCGCGCCCTTTTCTCTGCTCTCAGAGGCCACTTGGGATGCAGAGCTGGAACAGGCCTCAGGACATGTTGGTGGCATCTTTGTGCTTCGCTTGCCAAGTGCGAGAGGTGAAGCAGGTCCCTGATCAATATCTTCAGAGGTACACACTTGTGCTGGACAGCCCGAAAATGACCACCCTGTCCTGGAGAGAACACACTGCTCCCTTTCGCAATTACAGGCTCATTTTTCTCTCCGTGGCTGGGTACACGCTGGGTCGCTCAGTTGGCTGGAGCATTAAGTACCAAAGAGCCCTGAGCATCAAGTCCATAGGACATAACAAGCCCACGTGCCCAGCAGTGCAGGGAAGGAGCGCTCAGCACGAACCAGGAGGGAGCCCAGGGCTCAGCCAGAGCCTGGAGAGCAACCAGACTGCAGGATGGGACCCAAGCAGTGGCTAGCAGGGCCCCTAGGAGTCAAGGAAGTCCAAGGCCACTGGCTACTTCCTTTTTTTAAAGGTCCTGATACGTTAAAAAAAAATACATGCTGAAAAAGGTATTTAAAATTGTGACATATTTTAGGTGTTTATCACAATTAAAATTATAAATTGAACATATTTTTATGCCATAGGTGTCACTTTGGGTGGTTTATCTCCTTGGGGATTTAGTCCACATTTAAGGCCCTCAGTGAATGATACACCCTGGCCAGGTGCCTTCCTGGGATGCTGCTGCCCACCTCCACCACCAACTGAGACCTGACAGCCCAACAAGCAAGACCCACCCACACTGTCCTTAGAGCTTTTAACCTGTGTCCTTGACGGCCTCTGCCCCTGCAGGCCCTTAATTCATTTACATTAAATAATGAATTAAATAGCCTTTAAACATAAGTAACCATTCCCCTGTTCCCCTCCTGAAGAGCTTGTCCCCCCACCCTGAACTTGGCTCCCTCAACCGTGCATCTAACCCACCCTTCAAGTCCTAGCCAAGCAATCCATTTTCAGGGATTGGTTGTGTCAGGTACTTGTCACAGTGATGGAAAGCTGGCTAACGGGGTCTCAGGGACTCTGGGCACCTCTGAGAATCAGTGCTGAAGATGGAGCTGCAGCCTGGGCCTGGCCTGGGCTAGACTTGGGCCTTGGCCCTTGACTGGCAGAGCCTGAGACCCAGGGCAAAGTGTGAGCTTGCTGCAGGCGGTCAGGCTCACGCCCTGCGGGATCTGGGGCTACCTCCCCAGCTTTCCCAGACCTTGACGCACACACTCGGGCCTTGATGCTGTTGCCCTACATGTTCTTCAGGTCCATCATGTGCTTCTTGGTAAAAAGCGTGTTCCTCAGGAACTTAGGTCCACAACCTGAAGAGATTCGTGTCTCCAGGGTTGTGGTTTTTTAATGTGGCTTTCGTCCCATTCTGCATCTGGTTGTGTGGTTCTGGGACTCACCCATACTGACACCTAACCTGTGGCTCCCCCTTCTTTTGCTCTCTGTAGTGTTATGCCTAAACTGTCCTGGGCGGCCTCAACATCTCTGAGCTTCATGGAGCCCCCAAAGCCTCACCAAGTTCCCCTGCTCTGGCCAGATGTGCCCCTCTGGGTTGGAAAGGCTTCCTGTCCATACAAATCCCCTGTTAGCATTACAGGGGTACTCCCCCTGGTTGTCCACCTGGCAGGTTTTACCTCCTTGCCAGGTGATGCCATCCTCCTCTGGGAGCCAGGGGCCACGTGGCCACCACTTGCAGTGAGGCCTGCTTCCCACAGTTCATATTTGCCTATCCTGTCCCTGACACCACATGGTGAGCAGGGCCTTCCCTAGGACTGGGAGCTGTGTGACTGATGAACTGCTGTTAGTCCTTGACCAGTCTCATTCTGCCATCTCCTACCAGTCAGGGCTCCTTCCAAGGTGGAGTGAGTAGGAGGTGATCAGACAGAATGGGCAGAGCTGTCACTCAGCCAATTTGCTTTGCTTATATCATCTTCATTGTGACATTCCTAGCCAGGTAGAAGTCTGGAGATGAAATAACTATTCCAAACCGGGCACAGTGGCACACACCTGTAATCCCAGCAGCTCAGGAGGCTGAGACAGGAAAATCGTGGGTTCGAAGTCAGCCTCAGCAATAGCAAGGTGCTAAGCAACTCAGTGAGACCCTGTCTCTAAATAAAATTCAAAATAGGGCTGGGGATGTGGCTCAGTGATTGAGTGCCCCTGAGTACAATCCCCGGTACACCCTCCCCCCCCACCAAAAAAAAGAAATAACTATTCCATAGATGACTATAGATTTATTTTCCTACAAAGGATTTCCAGTCATACAGCTACAGCTTCATTTGCATAATTGTGTTTTAAGCAACCTTTACTGTTCATCATACTGTAAAACAATGAAATGAAAGCAAAATTGCTACAGAATTACCAGGAGCAATGGTGCACCCCTGTAATTCTAGCAGCTCAGGTGCTGAGGCAGAAGATTCCAAGTTCAACGCCAGCCTCAGCCACAGGGAGGCACTAAGCAACTCAGTGAGACCCTGTCTCTAAATAAAATATAAAATAGGGCTGGGGATGTGGCTCAGTGGTCAAGTGCCCCTGAGTACAAAAAAAAAAAATTACAAAATTGCTACAGAGTAAATCTGTACTTAGTTCCTATACTACTGATCTGACATGTACGCTGTAATCCCTAATAATCCCTAATAGAGGTAAAGTGTGACTTTGCCTAATTATGGGAAGGAGATTCTACTACTGGTAAATCTTGAGCATAAGCAAGAGACTAAAAACTGAAAGCACATGAGAACTTGAACTTGGACTTTTCCCACACAAGCATTTACTTCCTTAGCTTCGCTGCCTCTGTGTAGCTCACTCCTTTGTAAGCAAGAAGGGCAACTCTAAAAGTCACTGAAAATCGCCCTTCCCAGAATCTGCAATTAGCATTAACCGTCTTAGTGCTGCAGGGTGAGCTCCATTTGCCTTACTGTTATTTTATCACTTGTTTCTCAAGGTCCAAGGGGGAAGAGCCACATATTTCCCTTCAAGAGCTCCTGCGTATTCGAAGGCAGCCAGTTTCTCTTGTCCAGTCTCCAGTCCACTCATCCCTAATGGGCCTCCCATCCTCCGGTGCCTGCCACTTCTGTCTTATGGTAAGTTCTGGGAAGTGTGGGACCGGGGCTCTGGAATGGGAGAGGGGCCGGGAGGGCTGATGAAAGCTCAGATCCACTCCCATCCCTTTCCTTGACCACACTGGGAATGTAATTACTCCATTTTCACCCTAGGGGCTACACAAGGAAAATAGCAGGGGACAAAAGTTAGCGGAAAATGGTCATTAGACAATTCCGGAAAGCTCCAGACTGCAAGCCAAGTGCAAGGCCCTTCTCTGAATGACTGGGTCAGACCACACCCTGCCTGTTAATCCTTCTCCCAGAAAGGACGGTGTGGGTAAAATCCTCAGGACACTGGGCATGTCAGTTATGCCATGATTATAAGGCCATTAGCAGAGGCCAGGGTGCATGCTCAGGGTGGGACCCTGCTAGGAAAAGAGACATTCCCAGACAACACAAATGGCTTGTTCCTGGGAGGAGACACTTTGCCAGGGAGGTGGGGCTGTGCTGTGGGCCCTGACTTGGCTGCAGGCCCCTCTGCTGGAGCTCCACAGCAGGTTCTGCGCCACCCTGGGCCTCAGCTTCCAAAACAACCACAGGAGGACAGGCTTTGTTCCCCAGAGCACTGGAAGAAAGTACAAAATAAAAGAACTTTCCCTACACAGGGCTGGAGGAGGGCCCTGGCAGGGTGCCAGCCCCCGAGAAAAAGCTGCAGTGCCACAGCTCCGGGCCAGAGACTGACTGGTTGGGCGGGAGGCAGCCCAGGCCTCGGCCAGGTCTGCTACCCCCAGATCACTTCCTGCTCCCTGGGCCACCTTGAAGCCCTAGATATGGAGACCCTTCTCACTCTTCAATACATAAACTTTCCAGTTTTATGAAAAAGAGGAAAAATACTTTTCATAATGCAAATATTTAGCTTTAATAGCTTTATGTGTACTCTGCCAATAATTGCATATATACATATCTATGTATATATATTTTTTCTTTTTCTTTTTTCTTTTGGTAGTAGGAGTTGAACCCAGCAGCACTTAACCACTAAGACACATCCCCAGCTCTATTTTGTATTTTATTTAGAGACAGAGTCTCACTGAGTGCTTAGTACCTCACTTTTGCTGAGGCTGGCTTTGAACTTGCAATCTCTTGCCTCAGCCTCCCGAGCTGCTGGGATTCCAGGTGTGCGCCACCATGTCCAGCTCTATGTATATATTTTTAATCTAGAACATACCATAATTATGTAATACATTTACTTTTAAGAAATTTTATTAACTGGGTACGGTGGCACACACCTATAATCCAGCAGCATGGGAAGCTGAGGCAGGAGGACAGGAGGATGGCAAGTTTGAGGCCAGTCTCAGCAATTTAGTGAGGCCCTAAGCAACTTAGCCAGTCTCTATTCTCAAAATCAATTTTTTTTTTAAATGGGCTGGGGATGTGGCTCAGTGATTAAGCTCCCCTGGGTTCAATCCCTGGTACCAAAATAAAAAACAAAAAGGTGGAAAGTATAGCATTACATTTATCAACTTAACCATTTCGAAATGTCTAGTTCAGTAGTGTTAGTTACATTTATATTGTTGTGCGATAAATTTTTAGAATGCTTTCATCTTACAAAATAATCTCTGCATCTACTAAACCCTGATTTTTTCTCCCCCAGCCCTTGGCAATTCCCTTTCAACTTTCGATTTCTATGATTTTGACTACTTTCAGTACTTCATATGAATATAATCAGGCAGGATTTGTAGGATGTGAACTGCCTTATCTCTCTTAGATAATGTCCTTAGGCTTATCCATTTTGTCGCATATGGCAAGATTTCTTTTTATAAGGCAGCATAATATTGCTCTAAATGTCACTTTTTCATTTAAAAAAATATATTAGCTCTTTTTAGTTATAAATAACAGTAGAATCCATTTTGACATAAAAGCATGCGATCTATCCTGTTCTCATTCAGGGCCCAGCACCTCCCCTTCCGCTCCCCTCCCAAACACCACTTTTTTTTTTTAACCCTTAATCAGTCAGAGGATGTTTGGGTTGCTTCTATGTCTTGGCTACTAGGAATAACATAATGATAAACTGGGTATGCAAATCTCTCTTTGAAACCCTGCTTTGAATTCTTTCGAATGTATATACAGAAGGGGCTCATTCTGATTTCAATTGTTTTAGGGACTCCCACTGTTTTCCATAATAGCTGCAGGACTTTACATTCCCACCAACCGTGTGTCAATTTCTCAGTATTCTCACCAGCACTTCAGTTTTCTCCTCTAGTGACCCAGGCCATCCTAATGGGTGTGAAGTCATTTCCTCACTGTGGTTTGAATCTGCATTTCTCTCCTGATTAGTGACATCTGACTCCTTACCTCTGTTGACCATTCCTATAGCTTCTTTGGGGAGTTGTTTATGCAAGTCCTTTGCCTGATTTTAAAATCCGGTTATCATTGGATTGTTTGTTGTTGCTCTGGAATTGTAGAAGTTTCTTATATATGCCCGATACAAATAAATCCTGCATCCGATTATAATTTATAAATGCGTTTATGCTTTTTCCCATTTCATAGGTGTTTTTTTGTTGGTTTTTTTTTGTTTGTTTGTTTTAGGGGTTTTTTTTTGGGGGGGGGGTGCTGGGGATTGAACCAAGGGCCTTGTGCATGCAAGACAGACAGACACTCTACAAACTGAGCTAGATCCCCAGCCCCTAATTTTTTTTTAAATATTTTTTTTTCAGTTGTAGTTGGACACAATACCTTTATGTTATTTATTTATTTTTATGTGGTGCTAAGGATCAAACCCAGTACCTTGCACGTGCTAGGCGAGTGTTCTGCTACTGAGTACTGAGCCACAAGCCCAGCCAGCCCCTCATTGTTTTTTTTTTTACTATAATTATTTTCTTTGCAGAAATTTTCATTGTGTTAGAGTCCTATTTGTCTATTTGCTTCTTTTGCCTGGGTTCCTGGTGTTACATCTCTGACATCATTGCCAAATCCAGTGTTCTGAAGCTTCTCCCTTACATTTTCTTCTGGGAATTTTAATTATTTATTTATTTTTGGTACTGGGAATTGAACTCTGGGACACTCAACCACTGAGCCACATCCCCAGCCTTCTGGGAATTTTATACTTTTAGGTTTTACATTCAGATCTTTAATCCATTGTGGGTTTATTTGGTATATAGTATAAGGTAGGGGCCGGGCTTCCTTCTTTGGCATGTGGCTATACAGCTTGTTGGAGTGACTTTTCTTTTCCTAATTTTCTCATATTTATCTTTTCACATGAAGCAAATATATACTTACATCATAATTTTTTGGGGGGGGTGCTGGGGATCAAACCCAGGGCCTTACGCATGCAACACAAGTACTCTACCAACAGAGCTAAATCCCCAGCCCACATCATAATTTTTTTAAGAATTTTTTTTAAAGAGTGAGAGAGAGAAAGAGAGAGAGAATTTTTTTTTTAATATTTATTTTTTTTTTTAGTTTTCGGCGGACACAACATCTTTGTTTGTATGTGGTGCTAAGGATCGAACCTGGGCCGCACGCATGCCAGGCGAGCGCGCTACCGCTTGAGCCACATCCCCAGCCCCCTTAAGAATTTTTTTTTAATATTTATTTATTTATTTATTTTTTAGTTGTAGTTGGACACAACACCCTTATTTGTTTGTATGTGGTGCTGAGGATCAAACCCAGGGCCTTGCGCTTGCTAGGTGAGCATGCTATCACTGAGCCACAACGTCAGCCCCCCCACACATCATAATTTTTAAGCCTGCATAGCATTACAAGTGAACACACATACTGTGACTTATCCAACTAATCCTGTTCTATCAAACAGCATAGATGTATTTCATTGACTCCTTTGTAGATAAATGCCTTCTCTCTCTACAGGCTCAGTCTGGCTCTGTGGAGCTTTCCTGGTCCTTCAGGCTTTGCTGCAAATAAACACCATCGGGGCCCCCTTGTAAGTGCTGCCTTCATTGTTGCTGAAGGTTTTCATTTTCAGCCATGCTGACATTACACAGAAATTCAGTGGCCTTTCCTTGTGGTGAGAAGGCACAGCTGGAGGGAGGCATGGGTCCTAATCCCAGCTCTGGTATGGTAAGAAAGCACAGTGTGACTTGTAGGTGGAATCCTCTCCCAGAGAGTTCAAGCTGAAGTCCAAGCCCCTATCACCTCAGGATGGGAACAGGTTTACAGACTTGAGGAGTAATTTAAGTTTAAATGAGGCCCAGGGGGGCCCTGATGCAATATGATGGACGTCCTTACAAGAAAAGGAGATTTGGACACACAGAGACTCCAGGAGTCTTGTGCACAGAGAAAAGGCCATGTGAGGGCCTAGTAAGGCCAGCTTTGCAAGGCAGGGCAGAGGCCTCAGAAGAAACCAAGCCTGCCAACACCTTGGACTGTCAGCCTTCAGGGCTGCAGCCCTGAAGTGGGTGTTTGTTAGGGAAGCCGTCAGCAAGTCTCTCTCCACAATCCACCAGCTTCCGTTTCCTTCAAATAAAATGGAGGATCAGACTAGGGGATAAGCACAGGTCTATTTTTCCCCTCTGACTGAGGTTCCATGTGTGTGTTTGATTGGGTACAATAGGTGTTTTGATGTATGTATACATTGTCTACTTTTTTTGTTGATAGCTCTGGGGATTGAACCCAGAGCTTGTCATGCTAGGCAAGCTGTCCACCCCTGAGCTACACCCCAGCCTTGACTCTGTAATCTTAAAGCTTAAATATATGGCTCCTTTTATCAAGCTTGCATTACAGAGTCTCACAGACATGTTATCTGGGCCTTCAGAGGAAGCACAGGGTTGGGGCTGTAGATTTGATGGATTCCCATGTTCTCAGAGCCCATATCACTTTTGTTTCTTTGCTCTGTGCACCACAGTGAGGGCTTTGACCCAAGCCTGGGTGTCTTCATGGTTATGAGATAGATGGCTGCCAGTAGCAAAGAGGGCCAAAGCCTTCCCCATCTGCATTTAGAAGGGGCAGAGAGAATAGAGGGCTGGGCGACTTCTGTGCATCCCTCACTTACCAAGATGGTTCAGACCTGTCCATTCCCAGTTTATTAACTTAAAATTACAGGCACTGCCACAGACTTAAAGGACAAGGCTGGAAAGGATGTGGGGAGGGCACTTAACAGCACTTACCAAACATTTTTGTGAACCTAAACGTAGCAATCTGTGTATCAAATGTATATTTTGTATTCAAAGAACTAAATACTTAATGTTTTCTGGTATCACCGTGCATGTCTGCATTTCGAAGCCAGTATATATTGTGTTGTGGGGGTGTGTGGGGGTAGAGTGTGTAAAAAATTCAGGCCCCGCAAAACTCTTAGATCCTAGGCATTGTGTGCTATGAATGAAAAGGCCCCAAAGGTAGGTCTGGAATGTGATGGCAATTAAGAGAGCCCCAAATATAATGAACTGTTGTGTTCTCTGCCAGAAGAAAAACTGTGTTGACAGGAGAAGCAAAGTCCCTTTGGAGGCTAGAGAGAGAAGATTCAAAATAGTAACGATTTTCAGTGTGTATCCAGCACCATTCAGGGAAAAATTTTTTTTGGTGGTGGTGGGGGTGCTGGAGACTTAGGGGGTGTCTTTTTTATGTTTATTTTGTTGTAGATGAACACACAGTATTTTTATTTATTTTTATATTGGTGCTGAGGATTGAACCCAATGCCTCACACATTCGAGACAAACAGTTTACCACTGAGCTACAGCCTCAGCCCCTGATCTGGGGGGTCTTTTCCACTGCCCTACATTCCCAGTCCTTTTATGTTTTATTCTGAGACAGGGTCTCCCTAAATTGTTTAGAGTCTCACTAAATTGCTGAGGCTGGCCTTGAATTTGCAATCCCCCTGCCTTAGCCTTCTGAGTCCCTGATATTACAGGCAGGTACCACCACGCCTGGCTCAGAGACACAAATATTGAAAAAGAAAATCAAAGGAGTTGGGGAACCTGTGCAGTGGAGTATGCCTGTAATCCCAGCATCCTGGAAGCTGGGACAGGAGGATCACAGGTTCAAAGTCAGCCTCAGCAAGGGTGAGGCGCTAAGCAACTCAGTGAGACCCTGTCTCTAAATAAAATACAAAATAGGGCTGGGGATGTAGCTCAGTGGTCAAGTAACCCTGAGTTCAATCCCTGGTACCAAAAAAAAAAAAAAAAAAAAAAAGAAGAAGAAGAAGAAGAAGTTGTGGAGACAAGCATTACCAGAATCTCCTTTTCCTCACTAATACATCCCTGCAGCAATGTGTCTAGCAGAAAACCAAGGCCAAAGCAGAGCAACAGACAACATGACAATACAACAGCAAAAACCAGATGAACTGCATTTTAATCTCTCTGTTGCAAACTGGGATAACATTTGACACAGAACTGGCCAATGAGATATAAGTGAAAATGTGCTAAAGATTTCTGCAAAAATTTGCTTTCCTGTTATAGCAATTTCTTTTCCTCCTTGTTATGTTCCTTTGCTCCTTGAGAATGCAGATTTATAGCTGGAGGTAAAGCAGCCATTTCCTGACTACAATGTGGCCAGGAATAGAAAAGCCCCACACAGTGCAGCAGAAAGGCAGAAACAACAAGAGGCCAGGCATGGTGGTGCAAAACTGTAATCCCTGTGACCCGGGAGGCTGAGGCAGGAGGATCACAAGTTCAAGACCAACCTCAGTATTCTGGTGAGACCCTGCCTCAAAAAAAAAATTTTTTTTTTTAAAGAAAGAGAATTTTAATATTTATTTTTCAGTTTTCGGCAGACACAACATCTTTGTCTGTATGTGGTGCTGAGGATCGAACCCAGGCCACATGCATGCCAGGCGAGCGTGTTACTGCTTGACCCACATCCCCAGCCCCCTGCCTCAAAATTTTAAAAAATTAATAAAAATTTTGAAAAGGGCTGAGGATGTGGCTCAGTCAATAAGTGATTCTAGTTTCAATCCCCAGTTCTAGAGCTGCTGCTCTAATTCACAACCTCCATCTCTGGGTACATGGGAATGAGAAACACCTACTTAGTTGAGATGCCTCCTGTGGTTTCCACTGGGTATGGTATGATAGGACTCCTGGTTAATGCAGAGTTCCACTGACAGGAAAGCATTTTAGTTGGGCCTAATGCTGAGCAGCACTTCAACGTGAATTGGGGCAGACAAAGGTAGAAAGAGCTGTGGGGGAGTGCAAGCTGAGCAGCATTTTACCATCTTGGGGATAAAGGAAGCTTCTATGTTGTTTATTCCAATATAAACAACAGGGGAGGTTCAAAGGCTACACGGAGACCAGATTTTAGAGCACCCTTTCCTGATGGAAACTTAAGGGGCCACCTATACACAACTTTATTTATTTATTTTTCTTCTGAATTTATTGTTTAGCCTCAGACTATAAAATAATCCTTTAAGATGTCCAGCAACTTCTACCCAGTAACTTGGGGAAATGAAGTTACATGTCAAGCTTTGCATATTCACCTGAATGGCCAGGGAACTTTCACCCACTTTATTTAGGTTTTGATTTTTTTCAAATTCCAGCCAGAAACTAAATACAATTGGAAACTGTAAGCGCTAGCTTTACTGCAAATGAGCAGGATCATTAAGATTTACTCTAAGAATAGTACGCAACTGTCAAGCCAAGCTTTTCTTCATTTAAAAGGAAAAAACAACAAAACTATACAGTAGTATATATTTCTTGCACAAAATGAGTTCTGGTTTTAGAACTTCAACACCCTGGTCATTTTGACAATATAAGTTCCCAACCTTAAAAATTTTTTTTCCTATTCCAAAATTCATCATAACTTTTTAAAAAATATTTATTTATTTTTTTAGTTGTAGTTGGACACAATACCTTTATTTTATTTATTTATATATGGTGCTGAGGATTGAACCCAGGGGCCTTGCATGTGCTAGGCGAACGCTCTACCGCTGAGCCACAACTCCATCCCCATAACTTTTTCTTTAGGATGGTGAAGAAACCGATAGTTTTTGTCCAATTGTTTGGAATTTTCTGTAATTAAAATCTATCTTCCTAAACACCAAAAAACAATAAAACCCCAAAAGTCCTCTACCTATTGCGGTTTCTGCAGCTGCGAGAGTGTTCCTCAGTGTTATAGCTGCTTTTGGCTTCATCAGACTCCAGATCTGCTTCAGAGTATAAATGCATCTGCACTCAGCAGAGTACTCTTAGAACAACAATTCAGGGAAAGAGATCTGGGGGGGAAATACTTGTGTTTATGAGTACCAAGAATCCCTGATTTTGAAATAAACAATGTGCACTTTTTCTTAAAACTGAAGAACAACAGAAACAAATCCATTTTCCTTCCTGCCAATGGGATTGAATAGCTAAAATCACAACCTTAACCCTAGTAAAATATGAGGCAAGAATGCCTACAAAGTGAAGGGACACTTGGAGGGTTGGGATCCTTGACAACAGTTCCAGTCTTGCCCTTGCAGCTCAGTTTATGCAGAAAGCATTTCTCATTCTCACTGTGACAAACTAGAATTTGGCCTGGACCACACTAAAAGGGTTGTCAGACTCCTTCCACTAAAGAGATAGACAATTGTCTCTGTCTCCATCTCCTGAGTTCAGCCAATTGCATCCCTTCTTCTAGACTGTTAGGAACACATTATTTAGTAAATGCTCTAGGGAACTTTCCAAGAAATAGCTGGAATCTTGCACATCTTGCATACCTTTCAGGGTATTTTTCTTTTCTTTTCTTTTCTTTTTTTGTACTGGAGGTTTAACTGAGGGGCATTTTACCACTGAGCTACATGGTACATTCCCAGCCCTTTTTATTATTTGAGATAGGTCTTCACTAAGTTGCTCAGGCTGGCCCGATGCTCCTGCCCCAGCCTCCCCAGTTGCTGGGAGGCTAGGCAAGAGCCAGCATGCCCAGCTCAAGATATTTTCTTCATAATTATTTGTCATGATTGGTATAACCTCAGACACTTCACCAAGTACCAATTTTTCTTCTTTTCCTTGAAGAGAAGGGCAATATACATCTTGAAATCAAACTGATCAACTGGAGATTCTTTTCTTTTCTTAAGCTGAGCAGAAAGTCTATTTGATCCTTGTTTCTTCTGATTGGATCCCCAATTTTGAAATAAACAATGGGCACTTTTTCTTAAAACTCTAGTACAACAGAAACAAGTCCATTTTCCTTCCTGCCAATGGGATTGAATAGCTAAAATCACAACCTCAACCCTAAAACTGCACCTTCTGGCAATATTAGCAGACTGTGATATTACAGGGTCAAGAAACAAAAGCTGCCATCCAGTCATGTTTGGACAATGATGTTTGGGGACTGATGGGAGAAAGGAAGAAGAGGAAGGAGAGGAGGAAGTACTTGAACTTTGTGGAAAACACATTTAGCTTAGCTACTATAATAAAGGCTTTGGGGGGAAATGAGAAGCCTAATATCAGGGTTTGGGTGTCAGTAAAACATGGCCCAATCCTTGAAACCCATTCGGATTTGTCCGGTTGTAGGTTGTTTAGAATAGGGATTAAGAAAATGAATGAGGAGGGGGAAAGTGTGATCCTTGTTTTCAAATACAAAAACAAAACAAAAAACCAACACCAAAACAGGAAAAGCGAATGAAACCTAAGTATGCAGTGCTTGATATTGATCACAGTTGGTAGTGAGCAAAGAGAAAAGTGCAGAGTCAGTAGAGAAAGAAGGGGAGGGGTGCAGAGTCTCTCTGCAATCCACTACGGTGTGTGCTGGGGGTGCACAGAGGGGCCAAAGGATCCCTGGGGAAAACCCGCGGGGTCCCCAGCTTCCCATCCCCACTTTTCACCCTCGGCCGCTGCTACTGCTGCTGCCAAGGAGACTCAGGATGGCAGCGGGAACAGGGCGCACTGTAGGTCTCAACTGCCCGGACTCTGTGCCCTGCGAGTTCCACACCTGTGCCAGCCCGCGTCCCAGGGGTGGCGGTGCGAAGGGTCTTGGGTGAGCCCCCTGCAGCGAAGGGACACCTGCCGTGCGCCCCGCCCCGCCCCATAGCCTCCGGCGCCACCGCTGGGGGTTCTTGCCCGGTGCCTCCGGCTGTGGTCCAGGCTGAGTGGGCGGGACAGGGAAATCGGTGCCCGCGGCGGAGGGAGGGGGAGCCAGGCCAAGGAATTTCAGTCCCGCTTGGTCGCTCGGTCGGCGGTGGCTCCCGAGGGCGCGCCCCTGAGCGCGGATGCCCAGTGCGCGTCAATCAAAATAAAATTAACAACACATTTTCATTTGTTTTTCCTTGAAATCTTCAAAGTCTGGTGCGTATTGTCTAGTTCGGCTCTCTATGAGGACTGCCCAGCGGCCACATGTGGGCAGTGCCCACCATAGTGGACAGTGAGGTTTCAGAGTCTGATTCAATCTCATATCCCAAAGTTTTGAACTTAAAACTACAGAAGTATTAACACCGTATTTCAATTTATAATGAAACCGCTAACATATTCCAGACATTAATGGTATTATGTTTTATTTCCAAATAAATGAATCAACCATAACTTTTCTGACCAGCACTGTAATGAAGACACTTAGATTGCTCCAAACTGGTCACTACTGGAACTCATTTGTGCAGTATTCATATAGAAAACAGCTGCATTCTTGCAGCTTGGTCTATTTACTTAGAATGGATTCCTGGAGAAAAAAATAACTGGGACAATAAATGGGACGTCTAATCTCTTGATGTAGACTCGCCAATGCTCCTGGGGACGTCTGCACCGAGTTATACTCTCACTGAAGTCTCCTGAGCCCGTGTATGCGCAGTGCCCACCCAGCATTCTCTTTTTTAAAAAGGCAAGGGGGAGAGAGCAAAGGTGCTAATGATGGGGGAAATTTGTGTCCATGTGCTTTAATTTCTATTAGCTGTTTGTCCTCTGCTTCCGCTTTGAATGAGCATTCTTTTCCTTTGCTGCTTAGCAACTAGTGTTTATCTTATCGGCTTTCATGCACCCTTTATGTATTAACAACATGAATGATTCGCCATACTTGTCTTTAGCCACTTTTGCAGTTGGCTTAGTTTTTTACTTTCATTCTTTTTTAAAACTCTTTTATTTTTTTTTAGTTGTAGATGAACACAATACCTGGATTTTATTTATTTATTTTTATGTGGTGCAGAAGATTGAACCTGGTGACACACATGCTGGGCAAGCGCTCTACCACTGAGCCACAACCCTTAATTTTATTATTTTTAAGAAGTCTTGTTTGTTGTGGTATTTTCACATACCATAATCCATTCTTAAAACGCTGTGAATTTTCCCAGATGCACATCCTCAGGTAACCCACATCACAATCAAAATACGAATACTCTGAATATTCCCTCACCTCCACAGCACTTTACCAAATCCTCTTACAGTCAATCCTTTTCCCACCTCCAGCTTCCTGGACCACTCCTCTGTCCCTAGGGTTCCACTTCTGCTAGGATGTCACAAAACAAGAGCCCTGCAGAGTATAGCTTTTCTTTTTTTTGTACAGGGACTGAACTCAGGTGTATTTCACCACTGAGTCAGTCACATTCCCAGCTGTGGTGTTTTATTTAGAGAGAGGGTCTCACTGAGTTGCCTAGTGCCTCTCTTTTGCTGAGGCTGGCTT